TATGTAGCAATTTAATAATGGGTATAAATATAATTTTGGGTTAAGACTAAATAACCTTTTTCTATTGGGATTCAATCCATTCTAAAATATAAAGTTTCCTTCAAAGAAACAACTCCATAATTGCATAATATTATAACATTTAGAATTATAATATTACTTATATTAGAAACGTTGCCAAAAATATTTCTACGAGCATGTAAAAAGATTTGCCATATTTTATATACAAGCACTAATGGTTCCTAATTTTGTTATCTATCACAATCAGTTTGTACGTGTATAATTGTAGAAGTTTTAAAACTTTATTTCTTGTCTCAAATTTATTAGTCAAGAAATCCTACTCATTCTAATCAAATAATTTAATTTCTACAAAGCAATTGCTCTTTAGACTCTAAGAAATCAACCCGTTCAAACCAAAATAAAAGTAAGACAAAAGTTTTCTCCAAGTTATACTTATTACCTCAATTTATAATCTAACCATAATGAGCACAAAAACCTAACTACACTTGGCCTAGTCATCTATCACTACCATATTTAAAAAATAAATAAATTAACATGACAATATTTCACTTCAATAGAACTTAATTATAAAAACTAAGACCAAAATACCATAGGAATGTAACTACATTAAATTTTATTTTTTGGTGTTATTGCTCATTATTAGTGTTAGTCTTTCCTTTGATCTTCTTATTATGTAGAAATCATAATGGACATATGTGTTTTCAAGTATGTGTTTATCTCTAAAATTCAACTTTTATCATAGACGATAAAGGATATCCTCTTAAATATATCTGAAAATAATTATATGTACGCTTGTGTCTTGCAATGAAAATAAATAAAATACATAACCAAATAATTTTAAATGTAGGACTATATTTGATACAACATTTTAATACAATAACTATTATATTTTACATTTTCAAGAGAGATATCGATATCGACAACAAGGGTTCTAATCATAACAAAGTAACCAAAGTATTATAAGGGATCAAACACCAAAAATATCATATATAAAGAGTATTATCTATGATACGATTATCTCTTTTTTCTACAAATGCACATATATTATTCACATGCTCAGACGATAATGTCGAATCATTTTAAATTCAAGTACTATGTAAGTATAATAACATTTGAAAAGTATGAATATAAAAAAAATTGCGATCAGATATCAACGTACAATTATTATCGTGGAACGCACGTTCATAGAAACTAGTTATTATAAAAGCACGAATGTTAAAAAGCTAAATGTTGAACGACTAAAATATCCCTGAAATCTTGATCGACTTTTTTGCCCTTCAAAAAATAAATTATTTCTTCAAAATATAATTTCATGTTGAATAAAATTATAATATTAATTGCATGGGATTCTAATCCAACCAGGTTTCCTACTTATTCTTAAGTCTACTGCCATACCAATTTCACAAGGACAAGAACTCATATCTGCATCGCCTCTTTTTTCCAACAAAAGGAATATGGTTCCTCATTATTTTATTGCAACACACTCGACATATCATTTTTTTATAGGTAAGTTAATTTTCGTTGTCACAGGAATTGTAATATTTGTATTCTTTCCTTCTTGCTGTTTCTTTTTCTACCATCATTTGAATCAATGATAGTTGTGTTTTGGGGTGACGAGGGATAGGATTTTGTCGGGGTCTTGAGTAATATGCATGGGTGTGTCTCTTCGTAAGTTTGTATAATAATCGTCATGTTTTTTTTTTTGTGCTTTGGGAGTATTGCGGCTAAATTGTTGGAGATTTGGGTATGTAAATACTTTTGATTGTCTTGTTGCATTGTTTAATTGTAGATTTCTTATCAAATATTGTCGCATGCATTGAATAGCAGTCATGTTTGAGGTAATTTAATTTGATTGATGTTATCATGATGAAAAAACCATTACAAAATATACCCAATGAATAAAGAAATATTAAAAAGGATACGACTAAGTAACAAGTTTATGCAATTAATAATTATATGTATTTTTTAAAATCGTGATCCTTTGAAGGGTCTAGCAATGGCCAATTACGTCTTGAATTCAAATATTAGTTTACTAACAATGTTAATTTATTATATACATTAATTAATTACTTCCGTTTACTCCAACAAATTTTACCTTTAGAACAAATATGCATGTGAAGTTTTACTATTTTTAGTGTTACATATTCATGCAACGCACGAGTATAGAGACTAGTATATATATNTAAAATAGAGTTCACACTAGATAAAATAGTCATTTGATTATTCTCCTAGCAAATATTTAGGTGTTTGAATTAAATTATATTTATTATTTTTAAATCTTTCCTTATTTGAATTAATTAAGAAGTCCTTATATTTAAGAATTTAAAATCATTAAAATTTTACCTAGAATACACATCATAAATACCAAATTAAAACACTTTATTTCCAAGTCAATACCTTAATTTACTCTAATGCATATTTCCGTCAGTTAGGTGAAAAGGACATTTTTATGGTAAAAAAAATGATTATTACAGAATTTGACTTTAAAAAAAATATGAATTAGCTTTGAAATCCGTCTCATAGCTCTAGGATATTTTTTGATAATCTATTGCTAACCGATACCAAATTCTACTCAACAGTGAATATTTGCCTTTTAGCTACATAATTTATTTGTCATAATTTTTTTTTAAATTTTCTTTAGTTGACCTAGACAATTATTTTTATCCGAAGTTAAAACAAAAGAAGGATAAATAATAGATTACTACGCTATCAAAATTATTTTAGTTGACTAAATATGATCAATATTCATTATTTTCAAGAGCTTATATTTTTTAAATTTTATTTTATAATTCAAACACATTATTTAATAATATTTGTATAATTTTAAAAATCTATACTCATTGAATTAGGGTACACGTACAAAGTGCGTACTCTAAGACTAGTTATTATAAAAGCACAAATAATTTATGCTAAATGTTGAACGACTA